GGGGATATCCTGACCACTTCATGCAGTTCTGGTCAATTTGTCTCACAAAAGATAGACATTATAATTAAAGGTCTGGAGGTTCTCTTGCACCTGAAATGACTGAGCAGGATACATCAGCTGAAGAAGAGACTATTCACATGAGGGATTATAATGGAGGAGGACAAAATCATGGATGTAGTCAAGAAAGTAAATAGGATACAGTGATTTTCTGTGCACAGGTTATGGGAATTTGGGGCTATCAAATATAATTATCTAGCAGTAGGTCTAATGTAAATACAATGGATCACTTCTTCACGCAAAACATAAATTAAACTGCACAACCCATTGCCAGAGGGTAACCATGGTGGGGAAAAGTCTCCTATGGCAAATTGGACATAAAGAAGTCCATACAACATATAACCCCAGAGGTTCTGAAACCTCTGATCCTTGCACATAAGACTGTTGAACTGTAAAACCTGCCACTGGGTTAAGAACACTCTTACCCTCTTTCCTGTATCATCCCAAGACACCCTTGGATCCACCCTGGATCTTTGGCTTTACTCCCTAACTATTCTCCTCCTTTTAATCTAGCTTTCACATCTGCGGAGAGAGCAAGCTGAATATCTACTATACTAGGTATAGTGCCAGGCTGCAGTATACCCAGTAGCAGACTTCCTTATTTTCTCCCATGCAAGTGTTTCTGACCTCTGTTGAACAAATTCCACAAAGAGACACTGTTTCTTTTAGTCCAGAACATCATGTGCTTACTGGAACAGCAGAGAATCAGATATAAAACCCTATCCAACTGAATAATTGTCTTCTAGAACTCAAGAAGTTTCAGCTATACAGAGATCTGTAGAAAGAGAGCCATCACAGACACAAATCCCTGCCCCAGCACAGCAGAGGGAGGAGCTAACCCAGAGAACTGAATCTGTGTTTTAAGCAACACCCTGACTCTGGGCCACAGGGAAATAAGATGTTCCTCCAGCTGTGGAGTTCAATCCAGCTGACACATGCTCAGTTTTAGTCATTCATATATGAGTGGTCTCAGTTATCTAATCCACACCCCCTGCAGTCAGTGGAGATGGATAGATGTTTCCAGGCAGTGAATCACTCCATTGTTCTTAGAGACATGTCTTAGGATAGGCAAAATGCCACCAGACACTGCTCTCCATATTGCTTATATAGAAAAATCTACATAACCAGTTTCAACCAGGTACTTCCATTTTTTTCACTGCCAGTGTTTGATAAGGTGAGACCTCCCCACTTGAAGATGATGAAGTCATAAGCAGAGAAGAAATGCAGCTTGGAGCTACAGCACTGATGAGGAAACTGCTAGACTGAGGGTCCAGAATGTGCTGGCTGGTAGATGGAAAAGAGAGAACAGGAGAGGGAGAGCAGTGTTCAAGGAGACCTGGTGGAAGGAGAATCAAGTATTGCCAGGGCACCAAATTCACAGAAATATCTGAACAATCTGTCCTGGGGAGTTACAATGTTTGTGAAGGATAATATGTTGTGCAACAGCCTGAAAATATTTTGGGAAAGATCTGTAGGTGGAAAACTCAGAGTCTAGTAATAAAAATATAGTACAAGAACAGTACTCCCAACCCTCTGATCAGAACAGTGATGGTGATCAGACAATGTTAACTGAGATTACAAAGGCTGCACAAATTAGGACAGGTAGTAATAGGGGGAGATTTCATCCACTTATATACATACTAGGTTAATGCTTCACTGGAATGAGCGGTGGAGAAAGACTCTTTGGAAGCAATAAATTATTACTTGACAGAATTAACTACTCTAAATTGTTTGACCCACAGGAAGAGATGCTATTCAGGATGTGGTCTGGAATGATGCATAAGACTCAGTTCCAGAGGTAGAAGTGGAAGAGTCCATTTGTAATAAAGCTTACAACACAATTTAACTTCTGTAGTGGGAGAGAGCAATCTAATTAAATGCAGCATGTGGATATTAAATTTCATGAAAGGTAACTACATAAAAATACAGCAATTAGTCAAAAAGAGATGAAAAGGAGCAGTCCAAAAAACCCAGGATGACTACGGCTTGTAGTTTGTTCAAAAATACTGTATTGGCAGGTAAGAAATTGGTGGGCCCATTTGAGACCTATGTGTCAAAAGAGGCATTCAGTGATGGCAAGACCATGGCAGAGAACCTCAATGAATTTTTTGCACCCAGTGCTAATGCTGGTGACACTGAGAGGTGTTTCACTCCTGTGTACCAGGACCACTGCAAAGACTGCTTTGCTGAGGACTGGGAAGTTTCCAAGATGATCCCATCTACAGAGAGTGCTCTGGACGTAATGTTGAGGCCCACGTATCACTGGAGCTGACCTTCACCCTGGGATGTGGCAGTCTGTGCTGTGAAGAACAAGATTACTGATGGCCTTGAGAAGCACAGCCTCCTGGAAGAACATCAACAGGACTACTGTAAAGGCAAGCCCTGCCTCACAGACCTGCTGGAGTTTGGTCAGGGAGCCAGTGAGCATGTGGATAAATGGACCAGTCAACTATGTATTTTGGGGTTTTCAAATAGTCTTTGACACGGTTCTACACCAAAGCCTTTTAAGAAACTAAGTTGCCATGGGCATGGAGGAAAGATCTTGTTATGGATCGAGAGCTGGTGAAAGCATAGGATGCAAAGGGTAGGGCTTAATGGTCATTTTTCAGCATGGGTGAGAATCAGCAGTGAGGCCCCAGACTGCTCCTGGGGCTGGTTTTCATCCTACAGGTTGTCCTGGGTTGAGTGAATGGTGGAGTTTTTTGGTGGCAGGGGAGGGGGCTATAGGGGTGGCCCCTGTGAGAAGCTTCTCGAAGCTCCCCCAGCTCCAAGCCAGCTCCACTTCTGTTTGGAAAATTGAGCCCATCAGCTGTGCCTCTGCGATAACGTATTTAAGAAGGGACGTGGTGATGGGCAGTGGGACTTGTGAGGAGGAGTCGCTGCAGCTGCGTGAACACCAAGGTCAGTGGAGGAACGGAGGAAGAAAGGAGGGGGGAGGTGTGCCGGAGCAGAGACCCCCCTGTATCCTGTGGGGAGACGGCAGGGCGGCCCCCCTGCCTCCCATGAAGATCTACGGTGGATCAGACATTGATTTATGGCCTGTGGCTCCTGCTTGGTTGAGTAAGGTTCTGTGCCCGAAGAAGGCCGGGGTCTTGTGGGAAAAGGCAGCCCCGCTGCTGTAATTCAGTGCTGGGAGGATTGCAGCATGCGGGGGAGTCCCACGCCGGAGCAGCTCGGGAAGGGCTGCAACCGTGGGAGGGAATCCAGTCAGAGGAAGTTAGTGACCCATGACGGAGCAGTGTGGGGAACGCTGCGGCCCATGGGAAGAATTCAAGTCGGAGAAAGTTTGTGGAGGACTGTCTCCTGTGAGAGGGGGACCACGATGGAGCAGGAGGAACAAGTTCTGGACACTCCCCTCACCGAAGATAAGGGAAGTGGCAGCACTGACTGCACCCCCCATTCCCTGCCCCTGCACCACTGGGGGAGGAGGTGGAGATATCAGGAGCAGAGCTGAGCCCGGGAAGAAGGGAGGGGTAGGGGGAAGGTGTTCTCAAGATGTGGCAATGCTTCTCACTGTCCTACTCTGTTATGTGTTGTTAGTGTCTGTAATAAATGTATGTTCTTTTTTTTCTTCCCCTAATGAGTCTGCCTTTTGCTCGTGACCATAAAGGGGAATTTTTTCCCCATCCCAGTCCTATCTCGGACCCCAAGCCTGGCTCTCTGTCCCTTCTCATTGCCGGAGGGGATGGGAGAGAGAGCTGCTGCGTGGTGGTTGGCTGCCAACCAGGCCCAAACCACGACACGGGTGAGCTCAGGCATGGAGGGGTGCAGTGAAATCCCCAGGTTTGCAGAGAATCCTCAATTCCTTTGGCTGGTTGAATACCTCACTGAAGGTGAGGAAATCCAGAAGGATCTCGCAGAACTGAGCAAGTAGACAAATATGTGGCAGGTGAACTTCAGTGTAGGAAAATGTGCTGTACCCACAGGGAGAAATTATCTGTAACAGGTCTGTATAATGCTGAGCCTGGAACAGCTCAGGAAGGAGCATCAATCATCGTCAGCAGTTCTCTGAAATCATCAGCTCAGTGTGCAATGGCAGCTAGAAAATTCAGTGAATGTTGGCCACTGTCAGCAAGGGTGATAATAACAAAGCAGAGAGCATCATTTTGACTCTCTGTAACACGTTGGTGCAACCATGTCTTAAGGGCTCCATGCAGTTCTGGTCTCTGCATCTCAGGAAGGACATAGTGAGGTCAGAGAGGGTGCAGAAAAAGATAATTAAAGTGACTGAAGGATACAGCAGCTGTCATATGAGGAGAGACTAAAAAGGCTGAGGTCTTCACTATAGATAAGAAAAAGTCAGGGAGGTGGGGTAAGTAGAGTCTTGGAAAACTGAAAGCAATGACTACCTGAATGTGGGACAGCTATTTTACTGATCTGCAGCACTAGAACTAGGGGCATTTCATGAAATTAGTAGGAGATTGGTTCAGAATAGACAATGAGTTAGGACAAAGTCATGGACAATAGGTACAGAACAGGTACTGAAGGAAATAAGTAGGGATGTATGCAATGATTATGCATGCTGTGGGAGGACAAGGGGGATGGACCACAGACAGCAGTTTGGGCTGCCCTCCCTAAACAGCATCAGCTGAAGACAGAATCCAGGCTAGCTGGAACATCATCTGACCTGGTAGAACATTTTTTACATTTTTAAGAAATGAAACAATGCTCATAGACGGATGTGTCCAGGAAATGTCAATGTTGGCAGACAAGCAGTTAATGCTATCTGAAAGCTAAACAGCAAGGTAACAGCAAGACAATGGAGCAGAGGCAGGTAAAGCACCAAAATGAAACTTGACATTTATAAGGGGAAATGAAGAGGAAAAGCAGTGTATCATTATCATGGAGAAAAAAAAAAAAAAAACCTACATTATTCAGTATTTTGGTAATGAATACTTTCTGTGTCACCAGTTTTTGTCACAGTAGTTGCTACTTTTTCTTACCTGTATGTACCAGCAAGAACTTGGTCACAGTCAATCAGGATAAACTTCTCCAGAACCTGGCCTGCAAATTTCTTGCCTGCTTTGCTGTAGTATGTGTCTCCACTCAAGCACCTTATGCGCATGTTCTGAAACCAAAGAAAGCAGAGTTGCTAAGGGGACATGTACTAAACTAAACTGAAATGTTCCCTTATGCATCACTGATGGACTCATTTGAGCAGGAGCTCTACTCCCAGAAGTAAAATACAGCAAGTCATCAAGTATTTCTTGGTTTCTACATACCAAATATTTTGTCACACTGTCTGCTTCTGTAAGATAATAATGCCAGCAAATATTAACAAGTTGCACTTAGGTACAAATGCTGATTTGAAAAAAAAATTGGAGAATTTTATGAGCCTACAGATAGTTTCTGAAGTATGTAAGACTATACAATTTCTTCCAGACTACTGATAATATTCAACTAACCACACTAGCTGATGGCTCTGCATTGAAACTAAATTTTGACCCATAACAAACAGTCAGTTCCTAATCAATTGAATGTGCTGTTCTATTTTTTATAGAGACAGGCTTCTTAAAACAAAAATATCTCAGTAAAAAGATTTACAGAAGGGTATATCTACATTTTAAGAATTGTCTTTTATCAGTGTATTTAAAAATTATATTAAAATTTTCAGCTGCTATACTCTGGTGAAACAGACCTGATCCTCATCTGTTTGAAAGACTGCAAAGAACTTCTCTGATACAACTTCAGCCTGTAGAACCAACTGCCCAGCACAAAATGGGAAATAAGGCTCTCAGTAGCCATCAGGAGCCTTTTTCATAAGATGAGAGTTTTGCCCATAATAAAAGTTATTTGCACCTCAGTTGAAGAAGGCAGAAGAGGACAACAGTCACTGGAAACAGTTACTGGCATGGTCTGCATGATACAGTGCCAAACAAAACATCTTGTATGTAACGAAAGATCCCTAAGGCTGCACCTACACTGGCCTGCCGGATCATCCCTTCCTGCCCCTCCAGGCCAACTCCCCTGCCACCCGCAGTGGCTTTGGCACACCAGGAAGCTGTCACCAACTGTCACCACCTGCATTTAACCTGTCAGATCCCTCTGTGGGCAACTCACACCTGGCTAGCATCAGCCCTGTAAAAGACCAAGACCCAGGGCAGTTGGCATGGGCCGCACACGCCGCCGGGGCCACTTTGCCCCTTGGCTGGTGGGCACTCGGGGAGGGGGGGGGGGGGCAGCCTCCCCTCTGCAACACAGCACATTCCAGTCTGGCCCGACAGCAGTTCCTAACAGCCAGTGCTGCAGACAAAAGCCAGGCAGAAATAGTTGTGATTTGCTTACAGATGGTCGCTGCAGGGTGGAGACCCACACCCCTGCCACCCCTCCAGAAGCTGCTTATGGGCATCGCTGTGCCCATTTTCTCCCTCCTCCTCCCAGGCAGGTTGAGCGTGTGTGGGCTCCCCAGGCCACCTGTACACAGCCTGGGACCGGCTCGCCCGGACTCTGGCCTCACGTGGGGCTCGCGGCACGGAAGTTGTGCCTCGGGGCTGAGGAGCAGGAGGCTGTCACCCTGCGGCAGGTGACTCCATTCCTGACAGCCTTCCTCTTCCGTCAGAGTCCCTGCGGACAGGAGGTGGGCTTCCTGGAAACATCTGCTGCGGAGCTCATCGTGGCAGGGTGGGCAAGGCTTGACTCTCGTGTCGCACCGAGGAAGCCTCCCTGCCCATCCAAGGAGCACCATTGCCTTCAGGGCTTTGTAATGGCAGAAAATCCCCTCCAGACCAGGGTCCATCTGACCCCACAGTCTATCTCTTGCAGTGGACAATGGCAGCTGGGGAAGAGCAGGAAGAAGGCAATTATTTATGATGCTGCCCACTGATAGTGGTGCTGACTCTATTTTCAGCTCAGGGGAGTTCCTGAGCATCCTGTGGTTTGTCTTGGTGGGAAGCCTCCCTGGACTTCTTCTCCAAGTATTTGTCCAGTCTTGTCTCGAGTTGTGCAGTCTCCATGCTTGGAGATTTTCAAGCCTAGACCAGGTAAGGCCCTGAGCGACTATGTCTGACCCCACGGGTGACACTGCTTTGAGCAGGAGGTTGCACTCAATGACTTCCTGAGGCCCTTAACAACTTGCATTAACCTGTGATACTCTGAAATGCCACCACAAGTTGCTGATATAGAGCAAGATATGGATGCTTGGGGAGGTGTTCACATAATCCTATTGCCAATCAACACAGGGATTTGTTTTCTTCTAGTGCTGAGGTTTTAGTAATACTAGTTCTCACTGGGAGGAGCCTCCTCTCCCCGACCCCAGGGAATTTAAAACCACCTCGGGTAAAGGATATGCCTTAGATTTGTCATCAGAGTATTTCTTCATCCCCTCTATCCTTTCCAAGGCTGGGTGAGTTTCTGATATCTGGCTCATTTTTTCCATCCTCTTCTTCCTCTTGGCAATCCAGGCCCTGAATTGTCCAAACAAGATGAGAATCCTGCAGTCTTGCAGGAAAGCCAGACTGCCAGGTACCACTCTCACTCAATTTAGACAGTAGTTTCAGGTTCAGCAGATGGCCATTTGAAAAAAATCCAACAGTTAAGTTTTCTGCTGTGACTACTGCCAATGCTCAATGTACCACTGTGGGATTTGCTGATGTTCAGCACCAGGATTTGACATCAGCAGGCTCACACAATGTTCTTAGAAGATGCTGGAGGGGAAATTGCCCCAAATTTTCCATTAAACCGCAAATTGTCACCAGTTATTCCAAACGGAGATTTACCATCACATCCTGTCGCAACTCAGAGCCAGGAATAGAAGATGTACACTCGTTCCACTTAGATGTGAATATCAAGCATGTATGTTAGCGTACTGCTTGAGATGCCTCAGCTTTAAGAGGCACTTCACCTCAAGACCTGCAGATAAGGCACTGAATGGGGGAGGCAAGTGTTAATTAGCCATTCAAACACAAGACATGACATCAAGTCTGACAAAGAAATGTAGGCATCTCCATGGATGTAAACTCATTCTAATTTTAATTAAAAACAACATCCAGGCTCTTGGATAAGTCATAAATAAAATTAATTTTGGAGAGATGGAATTTATCTAGATCCACCAGGTGACTTCAGTGATGCAGCTGTTTATGAAAGCAAACATGCTCCAGCATGAAGCAGTTTTCCCTAACAGATGCCATCTCAAGAGGAGGCTGCATGAAATGTGTCTGGCCTGTGAGAAGCATGAAAGGACAGAGCACCACCAACATAAGGGAAGAAGAAAGCCTCTCTACATTAATCTTTGTGTAGACAGGTGAAAAATGAGGGCAAATTAAGACATTTGTAACTGCATCTATTCTGAATTCTATAAAACATAATTTTTGAATTTTCCCTATACTGTTCTTTAGTTAAGAATGGTTTTGAGGTAACTGGATAAATTCGAAGTGTTCCCCATCATACAAAAAAAAAAAAAATAGTGGCTGGAAGAGAATCAGTCCTCCAGGGAATCCAGTGAAGAAGCACAGCCAGGACTGCTTGCCTTGCAGGACAAACAAATGACAACAAAAACCCAACTTCCATTGATTGGTGGTAGCCAGAAAGGCAATACAGGGACCAGCAAGATACTGGGGTGCATTTCTGAGTCTGCAAGTTCCCAAGAGAGCTTGTTGCTTGGACACATTAATTTTTATTGTTTGCCTGCTCTGGGCTCCACACACCATTGCTGATGGGCATTCCACTGAGTGGGGAAATCAGGCTCTTTGAAAATCCCTCATGAACCCACAATTGAATCACAAAACCAAAAAGCGGATCTTAACATGAGATTTTTAACATGTGATTTTACACTGAGGCAGTGCAGCGTGGCTAGGAGGAAATGGTAGGCTTTCCATCAGGACATCTGATGGGACTCACTGCTTCCCTTCCCCACCCAGATACTGCACTACAGCAGCTCTGGCCAGAATATAAACTGAGCTCAGGGATCTGAACTATAGGCAATTTAAGTCTCGCAATTCTATATCCTAGAGCAATGGCTGAGAAGGGACAAGGAAAGGAGATAATACAGGTCTACATGAACTAAGTTTTTTAGTCTACCTCTGCCTATCTGCACCAGCCCAGAAAAGCATTCAGTAATGCACTGCATCTTATTGGCCTTGACTTTACACTTGTGTATAAAACTGAAATGAGGACCACAAAACATCAAGATATAGGACTAGGAATCTTCTCCACTCCTTCCCCTGTGCTTCCTTCCAGGCAGATCTTGATTTCCTAGACCAAACAGCCATGGTGTCTTAGCCTAGGGCAGTGGGAGAAGGGGTAACTTCTAGGGATCAGGCAAAGCAAACAGAAGAAAAGGTACATGTTTTTTATCAAATTCCAAGACTGTTTATCATGTCCAGTGTGTGACTGAAAACTTACTGGGAAGCTGTCCTGAGTAAAAGCCATTTTATTGCACATTTCCACAAAATGCTTCAAGTACTCTTCATCCAGTATCAGGTAAACAGGGACATGACGTCTGCTTGAGGCCTCCAGAAGGTCACACAGTATTTCCATGTCTGTAAACAGATCCATCACAATTGCTATCACCTAGCAAAGAGAAAAGAGGGGTGGTGAAGGCAAGGAGGAAACAAGAGACTGTTGAAATCTCATGCCCAAGTGAATTGTGCTTTAAACTATGAATTAAGTATTCAAACCTTCTGAGTTACTGAGTGTCTGTGGCCACATGAGTGGAGATTGCTTCTGGACCTTTGTATTTAACAGCTCTTACCCCGCCACGGCAGATAAAACTACTTTTAATAACTGTGAAGACATTCCCCATCCAACTACCTCCTGTCTCATCTGTCATTAACTGAAAAAAAATAGATGAAAGGGTGATCATGTGCACAAACTCTGAATATCATTGATGTAACAAGTATGTATTGCCTTAAGCAAATATGCAAGAAATATAGCATACAAACTAAAGAGCTGAGACTGACCAAAATTATTATTCAATTAGTATGAGTGACTCCATGAATGGCTAGCATATTAACATAAAGAAATATAATTTTTTTCAGGAAGGACACATTGCCAGGTAAGGGAGAAGGTATCTTGATCAAGTATGTACATGTCCTTGTTCCAGGATTACATCCTACAGGTGACTACACAAAATTGTAGAATAACATGCGTGGGAAGGATCCCTTCCCTTTCCCTGCTGGCAGCACTCCTGCTAATGCAGCTCAGGATGCAAGTGATAGTTATGAAAACTAACAGTAGGAAGGAATAACACCCATAGTATTAAAAAAAAAAAAAATCAAGAAAATCTATCTCAATAAACTGAAGACTTGCAAGATAAGGTTTCCAATGAGGGGTTTTAAAAACGAAAAGAATATTAAAGAAAACTGCCAGTTCTTTAAAGAATGAGATTAAAGAAGGCCATGGCAACCCATCACACCGTGGAGATAAGATTGAAGGCAGCAGACCATCTTGGCTAAGTGAACTCTCCAAAATCTAGAAGGAAAATACAGAAAATGGAAGGTAGGTCATGACAAGTACCTCCTACAAGTCGACCCAGAACTAGAAAATTCAGAGTACAGTATGACCTGCAACCAGAACAATGGATCAAGGGAAATCAACCATAAATAGATTAAGATGTGACAGGAGAAGCTGTTCCACTGTTCCTCACAGAGCGAGGCTGCCAGCAGCCATCAAGGTGGACATTATTTGAACCGAAAAGGGACTACTGGGATTCATCTGTTGGCCATCACCATTAGTGACAGGAATCAGGAGGACATTGTGGAGAAGGAAGGAACAGGCAGGAGAGCACCTGCTGAGCTGGATGACTTGTCAGGCCTGATGCACTTCACTTGAGAGTGCAAAACGGTGACTCAGACCTCGAACTCTTAACAGTTAACACTGAGAACTCATGGAAGATGGCAACATACTGGGGGACTGAAAAAGGTAAAGCAGTGAAGAATTAACCGACAGACCAGCTTCGCTTCAAAAGCTGAAAAAATAATGGAACTACTGACCAAGCACTTTAGTCTCAATCTTTACCATATCTTAGCAGTAAATAAGGTAACTGTTTGGTACTTGTAGTTTGTGTGCGCAAGTCTGATTTTGAGTTTCTGCACCTAGTAGATGATGTCCAAATAAAGATGACCCAAAAAGCACTGAGTCTTGTAGTGAAGCTCCAATGGCCTACTTCACCCTGCTACTCAGTTTTCATGCCTGCAATACACCTTGCACATGAGATGAATGACAGAGTTTGTTCTGCTGCTCATTATGCACTCTGTGAGGAGGTAGGAATCATGTTTTCAAATACCTCCTCTGCCTGTGTTAGAGCATAGCCATGAATGCAATTCTCCATTGTCCAAATTACTTTATGGTGCAGACCATGTAGGGTAAGCTTTCCTCTGCCACTTCTGCTCAGCTGCTCCTCTTCAAACAAAGAGTTAAATGCAGAGGACAACAGTGAGGTTGACTTTTACGTGTGCAGTGGTTCAAGCTTTAAATAGGAACTGGCTGAATCACGTTCACGGATCTGACCTAGAATAAAAAGAAAAGAGTAGAGGAGCTCCAAGTATCACCCCTCCCCGCCCTTGGATGTGGGGACAGGCTCACATCTCTGCTCCAGACTGGCACACTGTCCCCAGACTGTCCACTGCCCATTAGCTGATCTGCTCAGTTTTCATCAACAAAGTGCCTCTTTCCAGGTTCATACTCACAGCCTAGGTGCTAAGTGGAGGCAGCTGCCACGGGGAGAGCAGGGGCCCATTGGCTTCTCCATGCTCTCCTGTCCAGTCTTTTCCTTGGCAAACTGACTCCTCTCAGCCCCACTCTGCCTGCACACACCATGGAGAGACCCTCTGCACCACAGCCATGCAGAGGAGGGCAGCAATGCCACAAGGTTCCTTCCTGCTTCCTTGGGGATTTATCCCTTTTGCAAATGAACAAGATTTCTTGGCTCTATCTGATTTTTCTCCATAGGCCATCTCGGTGATGACGCCTTACACACTGTCATTGGTCCTCAACATCTTGCAGAAGACCTCAGGCCCAGCCCACCACAGCAAGGGCTGAGAAGGAACCTTCCTGAAGGCTGTTGTGATGCTAAGCATCCATGTAGGACACAAGGTAGATGTCATCAAAAGCTAAACATCATGAGCTAAACATCATTCCTACTGTCCAGGCCAAAACCACAACTCCACCCTCTCACCCTGGCCATGGGAGATACAGGCTTCAGAGCCTGACTCTGAAGAACACCTCTTCTGTAGCCCTCATCAGTGTTGTCTTCCCAGAAGCCTTATGAGGCTCTGGCAAACTCTTCTCCCCTCCTGAAATGCACCCATCTGTCATGGACAGCCGTCAGCCCTGGAAGACCCCTGAGAGCAGTGAGAAGCACTTCAGCTTCCCAAATTGATGTTGCTGCTGGGCTATTGGCATTAGGTACTGCTGAGACCCACACAAACAAGCAGGGCTTCACCATGTTTTTCCATGTTGTCCTTCAGCCAAAGACCAAATGAAATTTAGCCAAATGACTTTGATGGGCCACCCATCCTCTAATGATGAAGCACCAAGAAAAAAAACTATAGCCCAGACCTTGTGTAAGGCTTCAGGCAAGTCCCTCTTAGCCACACTTGCCTCATGATTCTCCAGCTCATCTCAAGTTTACATCTGAGGCAGGTTTGGCCCTGAAGACAATCTAAACTTGGCTTGGGAAGTCAGTATGATGAATTCAAGGGAGACCAATGCACCTTTGTCGCCAGGCCCCACATGCTCAGAGGCACTGCTTGTGCCTAGTGCACACAGAAAGTCCACACCATCTTGCTGTTCTCTAGCAGTGCTCACAGGCTTTGGCAGAGTTCAGGGCTGTTGCTTGCCTAAAAGCAGCACTGCTTGTCTGCAGTGCTCGCTGTGAGAGGGATGGGGCTAGGCAGGCAGAAGCACAGCTGTGCATGGTAGCATGTGGCAGAGTCACCTGTGGCACCCAGTGCCCTGGGATGGATGCAGTTGGCTGAGGCAGACCTGCATCTCCTGGCAGCCTCGTGGCAGGGCTCTGGCGTCAGCGCGGGAGCAAGCACCCGAGGCAGCAGGACGCCAGCTTGTGCAAGCTGGGTGGAGCCCTGTGTGATAGTCAGACTCATGTTTTCCGAAGTGGGTCTTCACTTGGCATCAGGACGTGGAACAGGCTATAGGTCTATTCACTGTCTCCTCACATGTGAACCCTTCACAGGAAGGATTTGGGTAGAGTTGCTACTGGCGTTACTGGCAAGCACCCACAGACACTGTTGGGCAAGAAGGCTGGCAGCCCCACGTGCACTGCAGTTTGCAGTGAGGAGAGAAGGGAGGTTATGCCCTCCCACAGCCTCACATGGTGGAGATACAAGCACCCATGGCAGGGCAGCTTATTCTAAGCATGGGTGCCACAGGACAACCATGAGGGCCACTCAGATCACCATATGCTCTTGGTAAATGAAGCAGGCGGCTGTTATAGTAACATCAGCTCAACCACAAAGCCAAGAAGTTCTGGGAGAAGACCCTGAAAGTCTTCCCCTTGAAGCCTCCTAAGAATTTATTGTCACAAAAGTGAGGTCTAAAGCCTCAAAGATAATTTCCAACAGCTCTATAAAGCACTGGAAGTTAGGGACCTAAGTAATATCTGCAGTTCAGACTCCCAAAAACTTCTGTCTCACATTTAAAAGCCTTGGGCATTTAAGTTAATCTGTCCCTAGAAACCTAAGAAATGTGTGTTCAGTGCCTCTAGCCCCTCAGTTTCAGTGGTGAGAGCTGCAAGGCTAGGGCTGGCTCAGAGCATCCCTGTTCCTCACCATGCTGATCACAGCCTCCAAGTCCATGGCACAGCCTTACCGAGTCAGGACACTGCAAAGACACAGCTGCCCCAGAGGCTCTAGAAAATTCACACCTTACCATTGTAGGGTTAAATCATGACATTTCTAAATCCACTTCTGGAAACTCACAATTCAGCAATTACTGCAGTCATCTCTTCGGGAATTACAGCACTTACCAGCACGAACTGGGGTTGCCATCTGTCTGGTTTCTAACCAGCACAGCTGGTTTTACTGGTATTTGCCAATAGCAGTGTGGTTTTGGTCATTACCGTAGTGTTGCCATTTAGAAGCAATACATTGCTTCTCTGGGGGACCACCAGGGACCCTTCTAACAATCACACATAAATGCAGACACTCGGCCAGTGTCAGAGTTGTACAAAAGGGGCAAAAGAAACACGGACAGTTCAAAATAGATTGGAGCTTATCCGAAGAAAAAAAAAAATCTAATAGTATTATCAAATGAAGGCTAAGGTGTGGCTGCACTGCATCTTCTTATGCCTGCAAAGAGAAAAGCTCAAATCTGAAAATACATCTTCAAAGACATCTAGCTAAATACAGCAAAGTAGAAATACAAACTGCACCAGCAAAAGGTACCGATAAAACAAATGCCCTTTTTGATGATTTGTCAGTACAAATATGCTGTTGCAAAATATGTCAGCTGATGTTGTTCTGTATGACTGTACAAGAGAAAACAGCAAACATTTCAAGACACACGCCTTCCTGTCCACAGGACCCAGGAAAAGCATTCAGGGATCTCAACATCTTTCCCACATCCCACCAGCACTGTATCCACCTTCTATGTTAGCTGTAAGCCCACAGGAGGAGAAACACTCTAGAGGAGGGAAATATGATGAAGGCTTAAAGTCTAGTGGAAAATATATTTGAAATGCACAAACAGCAGTTGAAAAGCTAAAAATTAAGTGGTTCTCCACACAGTTGCTACTGGCACCTCAAGCAAAAGAAGGTTTTACCTCTGGTTGCTCTTTTGTCATTAAAAGACATACAGGTAACATCCTTTTGGATGGTTTGATGAGCAAAATGACTCAGTAACTACTTAAAGATGCGTAACTGGGGTTGCGAATGAGAATTGCCGTCAATCATAGAGTTAATAATGGGAAGCACTGGCCAGAGCTGTTAATCTAGAACCCAGTAGAACACCCATAATAAACCAATAAGATGGTTGAAAACTCATTCTCACATTTCACACAGCAGTCAAAAACACTGTGTGAAAATCCCCAGCTTGAACATAAAGGGCCGAAGATTGCCAGTTCTTTTTCAAGCCAAGCAAAAAAAGTAAGAAGCTCAAAATATACTTAAAGTACAATAAAGCTCCTACTGCCTAGGCAACCATAAAAAATACTGGGCAACAATAAAAAAAATCCTGGGCAACAATAAAAAAGTTCCTACGAACTGAGAAATCAGCAAGATGTTTTTTATGTGGTTCAAAGGATCATAATATTGTAAGAGATCCGGGACACGTGCGAGGTGACACGGGGATGGGTTTTGGTAGTCATTTACTTTGTGCATTCTGCCATGACTATGTCTGAATCCCCTTTGCTGAAAAGGATGCAGTAAGCGTCACAAGACTTTTCAGATGATTGAAGACATCATAAATCAGCTGTCTGCAAGGACAAACAAAGCTTTTTGTCACTTACTTCCTGGATAAAACTTCCCATATTTGCCTACAAAGGTGCAGCAGAAGTTCAGGCATTAAGCAATGGCTGCTTACAACTGAGCAGGAGCTTACGTGGCAAAACACGTATGTTTCTTCTGAACAAAAGATCCTCACCTTATAGCATGCCCAAGTTTCAATGATATGCAGTTCTTTGATTATGTCATGATGCTGCGTGGCCCCAGTTTCATCTGCGGGGGACAACATGACTTTGCTCAACTCTGCAGATAGTGATAGAAGATAACACTTTAGCTCAGTCTGCCTGGAAACAGCTCGTGCTCTTGACAGAGTTGAAGTCCAGGCTTAACAATTATTTATCTCCCTATTTCTGCACTAGGCGGTAATGAATTTAAGCAGTGACTGTGAATTTAAATAAGAAACTACTAGAATGATAAGAGAAATTGCCTAGAAGCTGACTGGTTAAAAGTGAACTTTGCACTAGAAGTTTACTCAATATTACCAGGCTATTGAAATGAAATACTAGCAAAAATAAAGTAACATGAAACAGATGAAAAGAATCATAAAGAGGAAAAGACAATAAAAGCTGAAAATGTGTCTGAGATACAATTGTCCAACCTGCTACTTTAGTAAACAGTGTAGTGGCAAAGTAAAAAGAAACAAGATTTAAAATCTTTAATAAAATTAAAATTTAGTGAATAAATTCACACCAGGATTGTGCTTGGTAGGCAAGTATTGCAGTCATCCAGTTTTTATTGCATCCAAGGGTTGGCAATCTCTACTCAGCAAAAACTGTGTGATGCGGCAAAATGGGATGATCTTACTCATCGTCAGAGGCACAGACATGAAGTCTAGAAGATATGAAGATGTATTCTAACTTACTTCAAACCACAGGCAGGGATTTTCAGTCCCGTAAGTTTACTCATTTCCTATGTCCTCCCACAGCAACTCACCAGTGGTGTCCTCCTGTCCTGCTTAACGTGATGTCCAGGGGTTGAAAAAAGCCCTGGCTGTGAGGCTGCCCTGGCAGAGGGCAGAAGGGCTGGCTGAGGACAGCTAGGCGTTAACGCTGCACACCCTACCACTCACTCGCTCCAGGCTTTGATACTGTGCTTTGCGCACCCACAAATATAGATGCAGAGTGCCTTAAAGGGCACTGACTGTACGACCTGAAGTCTCAGGCAGAAAGAAATTACAGGAAAGGAAAGGAGCAGGAACAGTTACAGATCTGCTAGAGAAAAAGCAATCATACCACGCCAGACATCTAGAGAGCAGAAACAGCTTGGAGTGTGTAGTGTACAGTTGTGGGACAAGTCACCAGGACTCAGGTGCTGTGGCACAAGACCCCACTCAAGGGACACAGCTCTATACATACCGTCCGTGCCCGGCTGATCAGAGACCGGAGCAAATCCTTAATGCTGTTAGCTTTGTTTCTTTGGAAAATCACAGTGGCTTGAGTCTGGCCAGACACCGTGAGGAGTGGCATCCCTGGCCACCCCAGCTCCAGCTCTGGAGGGTGCACATCAGACATGAGTGGAAAGTAGGTGCCGGACGTTAGTTCAGAGTTGAGGGAGGACCTGTCTCCAGTGTCCTCATCGCCAGGGTCAGCCTCTTTGTCTTTCATTGCACTTGGATCTGGAAAGCTTTGGTTTCTCTGATGGCTCATATATTCCATGTCCAGGGCGGAAAGAAAAGGCAGCTCGTGTTCCTCAGTGATGGCACTCAGGTAGCCACGTTCTCCCTGCTCAAGAAAGGCATCTATGGCAAGCCTGGCTGTTTCACTGTGCTGAAGCACCAGTGGGGTGGGCTCTCTCCACCACGGCTTCTTCAGCTGCTCTAGGCGGCTCTTCAGTGGTCCAGACACCCCTTGCTGTCCCCCATAGCTACGGTGGCACTGGGGTCTCACCTCTACTGCTAGGTAATTGAACATGACCAGAGATGTTGATGCTCAGAAGTGCCTCTCCAGCTGGATTAGTCCTCTGCGCGATTCCAGGTCTTTTCTGGCCCTCTTGTACTCCTGAGCTCCTCCCAACAGGTTCCTTTAGGACTCAGCATGTGTTTCACTCTTCTGCTTTAGAGTTAATCACCAGGTACAGCCTCCCACTCTGGGGGAGGAGCTGGCTTTCCCCAGCTCCCTCACTTAGCTTCCTCAGACACACACCTGATACTTGGTGCTTAGAGTATCCCTTTTGCAAGGGGAGGAAGATCAGCTCTTCAAGCTGGTCCTTCCCTTTCCTTTTAACTGATTCATGTACTGCCCTCCCCTTCTTCCATCTGTTCCAAGGGAACTGAGAGGTCCCCACCCTTGGCCAAGCAGGCTCTAACCTGTTTTGTCCCTCATTGTGCTCACAGTGGAAATGCAGATGCTGAAACTTGTTCCTGCTTGAAATTTGTTCCAAATCAAACATGCTTCTCAGTGTCAGTTATAATGAAATACAAATATCCCAAGTGGGTATTCAGACTCAGCCAAGAAACTTATTCGTCCCTGAACCATAGCTAACACTCCTCCTCAGCATTTCTTGGAAGCCAGGCTCTGCTAGACTGGCACCTGGCAGAGAAGCCAAAACACCACCTTTTTTGACATCACAGGATCACAGTATTTGTATGAAGCACAGCACGAATCTTAGCATAGATCACGTCATTAGATACCACAGGCTACAAGAGCAATAGTTCATGTGGTCTTTTAGCATTTCACTGGAAATCTTCCAAGGAAGGAACATTCAAACTCAGGAGTCTGGTGCTATGTGAATGACGATACAGTCCGCCTGCTGTGTATTTTGGAATTAGTTAGCTCCAGCTTCCCAAAAGCATCATGGATCTATTTTATAAGAAACAATATGGGCAGACATTAATACGCGATTTAAACCACTGTGTTAGGAATGCACCACCCAGAACACAATGCAGTACATGAAAAATTAGGCACAGGAGACACATAGGAATCCCCAGACTGCAATGCAGACCTCCCCCGCCCCACTCAGCTCACTTACCCTGGAGCTATTAAACTCCACAGAGACTAACCAGAGAATGAAGAACTGGCTGGACAGTTGATCTAATCAGCTAGCCTTTTATCTGCAAATTACAAAAACCTTGTAGATTAAATTAATCCAGGCTAGATCAAGTTGTCTACAACCTAAATGTTTGCCCTCTAATAACCACTGGGCTATAGTCAATGGAGAGAGACAGCCATGCCTAAGTGTGAACCAGCACACTCAGACACTAAGTCCTAAATCAGCTGAGATGAATCATGTCCCCAAGGGACTATCACTCTCCATGGTCTACAGCTGGAATGGGATGATTAGTTTAGATTATCTGTCTAGTCTTTAGATCCCTGAAGTCTGAATGAACTCTTACTGGGACTGTGCAAACTGCAAGAACAGAAGCAAAGGTACATTTAATCAGAAAATTTAAGTTGCCTGCCAGAGCTGTGCTGAAATGCAGCAAGCAGGTGTAGAGTTAGCAGCCATGGACAATAGATATGGGACAGAATTATAATACAGCTGCTGGCATAGAAGTGTTACAGGTGTAAATAAGTGTTAGAACAGCTTGAAGAATAACATTAACTTAAAATGTGAGGTGAACAGCTAAACACTATGTAAGACAGTTTGGGGAAAAACCAAAGGAAAGGGGCTATAACATGATGGGCCTTTTTCTGGAGCTGCTTTGCCAGGGTGATAAGGTCACCTTGGTAATAACATAAAAGGAGGGTACCATCACCTTACCTTTTGCCTTCCTAAAGAAATGAGAAGAGCATGAATTTTTAAAGAGTCATCAAATGTGTGTTTTCTGCCAGATAAACAACTGCTGCCGATTCTGTAAAGGGATTTCCAGTGTCTCTGGCTGGTATCTGGTAATGATCTACACTCCTTCCAGTAATTTCTCATGGACAGCAGCACATGAAAGCACATACGATGTAAACATCTCCAGCTGAGCTTGTCAGGCTGGGCTTCCTCAGTGTTGGTGGAGATGCAGATTCCTAGTGAGTCGGTTACCTCAGCCTGCAGCAGACATCTGAAACAGGTCAGGTGAAATGTGCCATGAAAGGGCTTATCTCTCTCCACTGAGTAGGAGACCTTGGGCTGCCAAAGTCAGTGACAAAGGTTTACCATACAGACATCTGTCTGGCAAAGAGATAAATGTCTATAATTGGCACTCCACAGACTGGCCAACACAGGATGCAGGAATCACATCAGCCAATTTTTGCCAGCTAAAACCAAGGATCTTATCTGGAAGTGTTGTCTATACAACTTCTGTAATCAACAGAGAAAGGCAAGGGGAAGACTCCCTCTGGCTAAACACACACACCAAGTCTGACTTCCAAGTCAATGTCCCTAGGCAGCTATACTCTGGCCGATACTTGAGCTCAGTCAGGATCCAAGCATTAGGCAATACTTCATTCTTGTGTCCCATTACAGATGTTCTTGGAGCTCACCGAACACAAACCTTGCCTGGGCTTTCCACAAAGTATATCTGCTGCTTCCTCTTCAAGCAAAAAACAGGAGGGAGACTTCCAACTTCTTTCATGATAGTACAGTTTTTGGAGAGCATTCACCTGGGCATACAAGAAGCCAGATTGGCTTTTTTCCCCTTCTACTTCAGACTGAAATCCACATCTTTCACCACAAAACATCATGGTGCTCAAACACACTTATCTACGGGCATTTCTGCAAGGCATCTGAGTAACAGTGTTCCACTGTGCAGAACTCACTAGCCAGCTGTAAACAACAAGCACAGCTAGATAAGTCCCAATTTTAGTTACTGCACTGAGAGCTGTGTCAGCACTGAGCTCACAAACAGACCAGTGCAAAGTCAAGGCTCCCAGTTGCTTGTCTGAGGTTCCTGACTGTGGCATTACAGAATCATTCTTCTAAACACAGCGGCAGCGTGCAAATGCCTTGTTTCACTTTTTTCATTCATATGTTAAGACTCTTCCAAATCAGGGGAGAGACAGCTTTGCACCCAGCTGAAGGAGGGCACTGGACAGCACTTGCCAGCTACAGGCCACATGATCTAACCACTAGTGATGGCAGGGAAGGCAGACAGCCCTACCCCCTCTGCTGGCTCCCTGTTCAGTGGTGTGTCCACCATCGAGGTTCTTTCCAGTTGCCGCTCTGAGGTCCCCACTACCCGCGTGCCATGTTGGGAAGCCGACGTGTGGCCATGGATTCGCTCTGGTGGCCCTTCAAGGTCCAGCCCCGAGCTGCTCAGGGTGCCAATTCACAGCTGTTATGAGAAGGACCACAGCGTGTCTCTTCCCTAAGCTGCTGCCCTGTACTGAACATGTGAGAAAGCACTTTCAGACACCTCTTCCCTTCTTTCCTTCCAAGGGAAATACACAAAAATAGAATTGGGCATTGTAACATTTAGTTTAGCTTATGGGTTTAGTTACGAGCAGGAAGAGGGTATGAAGGGAAGGATGTGGGACAATGAGCAAATCCTCATAAGATGCCTGGCTTTGACAGGATGTGGAGCAGCCCAGGAGGCTGGCAGGTGGGATGAGGAATGAACGAGCCCAGCTCACTCTTTTAGTCAGTGACATAATTGTTAATGAAGGCTTCGCATGTGCAAGGCTCCTTGCTTCCTAAATAAGCACAAACAAGGTCTCACCCCCTGGGATAGCTGCAGTAACCCAGCAACACCAACAAGATCCAGTCTAAGCAACGTGTTGCAGGGTCCTCCTACATGAACATACCTGCACAAGGCAGTAAGAACAGGACAGTAGACATTTCTGGTTCCTGCACTTGTGTGCAGGAAATTGTTTACACTAGTCTGCCCCAGGTCCCTCCTTCACCACTTGACCTGAACTCCCTGGCTGCTCCCAGCACATCACATCTGGAGCAGCTGCTGAAACGTAACAGCAGAAGGTGGAATCCTGCTCATGTGAGCTCCTGCTCTGCACTCCCAGTGGAAGGACGAGGCCCACACATCTGTCCCACAAATGAGCAGAGCAAGCTGTTAAGCAGGTTGAATGACTGTAAGCAAAACAAGTACTCCCTCAACATGTTCAGCAGCTTCAGGAAGAACACATGTAGGATGCACAGGACAGCCCTAAACACATGGAGAAGGGGCAGCAGTAAAAAAAACCTCACCAGAGTCTGGGAAAGATCATGAGACTATCAAGATGCAACTGCCCCACCACAGTGCAGGAGGCCAGGCAGCCCCCAGCACCAGTGGGTGATACTCCCTCTGCAGGCAGAGAAGAGAGGTGGGTATTTCACAAGCACAGCACAATTGCTTAAGCAGCAGAGCCTACCACTCATTCATGTTGAGCCTTGGGGTCTTTCCCACATCCTTGCCAACTTTCCCAGGCTCCTGTGCAAGTTTCTGCCCTCTCTTTGACTTCTCAGACCTTCAGGAAAATACAGACAGCGCTGAGGGCCAGGCTGTGCAGACACAGTATGTCCAAAAGATGGAGATATTGCTCCCTACGGCATGAAGCAGAGTGGTAGAAGTACCATCACCCAGACTGCTGGAAGAGGCCTTAATCTGGCCTTAGGACACCAAAGGCGCAGGCAAACCAGATGCAGCACTGTTCAGCAGAAAGAATGGGGCACAGATTTATCAGCAGTCTCTTGTAAAGGAAAGAGAAAAAAAGTCTTGACTAGCATTTATTATACAGGAAGACAACAGAGATCAGACAAGTGCAGCAAATGTGAAAATGCAGATGAGGAGGGCAGGAGTCTATGAAGGGGGGCATCTACCAAGAAAATAGCTGCCACCAGCATCATCCAAACAAACCGCATGTACAAGGCTAAGACCATAACCAAACATCTGCACTGGGGCCTGAGAAGCTGGAGAACGTCACAACAGATGACTGCTGTATTCATGGCATAACTCTATTAGCAAGAGTTAGAAAGACACTCAGTAATTTCTAGGTATTAACATAAACATTGACAACTCCCAACACTGGTATTTTAATCTTCCTGGAAGAAAGCACACACAGTCCTGTTTTGGAGCTCAAGACGGGCAATGAACTGTTCAGCATACCTGTAGAGGGGATCAGCAAACTTCACTCAAACACTTTTCAAGCAGTACTCCAGCACATTTTTGGGATGCAGACAACCTTTGCTACATGCTCAGGATTAAACTGGTCCCACAGAAATTTTAAAAGTAGACTGCATCAGGTCTATGTTGAATTGAATTTCTGAATGAATACCTCCTTTGCAGGGTTTTGGAATTAGGAGAGCATGAAAAAATAGGAATGGGTCACAGGGTATGGTATGGCTCCCACTGCTCCTCAATGCAGTGATGGCATGCAGTGGCATACATCCCAGGGACGATGTCTGCAGAAGCAGTCACCATCGCCTCCCAGCTGATGTTTACCCTCCCAAGGCTTTGCTATTCTTCATCTACTCTACATTAATCTAATTTAAAGCCCTGGTGGAGAAAATTTGCTCTTACTCAGTCTCCAGCTTCTGCTTACCTTACTCGCCAAGCCAAAGGCAGGGTAAGTGAGACACATCAGCGGTTAAGTCCAACTGCTGTGTCAGGAGCAGCAATTCTGACCCGAGGGCTTGGTGTGGCAGAAGCATTACTAAAAACTTCACTTTGTGGAAGGTGAAGAGTCAGAAATCTGGGAAGTGGTAACTGCACTTTAACAGGGCTTAGGCACCTGGACAGTACAGGAAATGTGGAGATCATCAAGGATGCCTGTGCTCCTAGGACGTTACTGTTTGAAGGAACAGGAGAAAACTGTTAGAGATAAATACCAAAAGGCATTGTGAACACAGAAGCTAGGATGGCATAGAAAAACATTTAATCCCCTAAAATAGAGTAGGCATCAAAGTA